AATGTAACTCAAACACAAGATTTTTTTTTTTGAAGAAGTGGTTCGGCATTACCAACTTATGTTGACAAGTTATTAAACAGTTCCGGTCCATATGAATAATGAACTGATTGGTACAGCAAGAATGCAATTTTCATTGAATATTTAGTGCTATTAATAGGCTTGACGCTGATGTTGTTGCTTACAAATACAAGGAAATATGGAAATATGCTAATATATCATACATTAAGTTGACACCTAAACCCAAAAAAAAAAAAAAAAAACTCAATTCATCAAGTAATTTGATCAAGAATTATTGAATTAACTCATGTATCACATATAACTTTTTTTTTCCAACTAGCAGGGGAGGTTTGAGATTTAGGAGATGAAAAGTGACAGGAAAATTGATATCTTTAACTTGCACTTATTTTAGAAGTATATTTGTTGGTCTTATCTATTAGTTTGATGCAAGTGCAATACACATGGTAGACTTAAATTTTGTTGGCATTAAGACCCATAAATGGAAGCCTATGCAAGTCATGCATTGAATAGTTGCATTATCAGGACTTGGCAACAAAAAGTGATTCCCTTTTTCAAGAAAACCATGCGGTGGTATAGGGAATTTTCTGTTAGGTGGTAATTGACCTTCGAGAAAATTTGAAACCATACCTTTCAATTTGATAAAAACAAAGTAGAGTTCATGATTTGAACTACTTACATAATGGATTTCATGCCAAACGAAATAAGCCAAAGAACTTTATTAAAATTGACAACCACACTTACAAAAACAAGCTTAGCAATCTAGCTTTCATCGATCTACTCGCATCAAGAAGTTGTACCACATATGTTACATTTTTGACCAAACCAACCTTCCCACATATGATACAACTTCTTTATGACTAGATCAAGGTAAATAAAATCTAACCTAATATTTGCCATGCATGATCAAGAAACAACCTAATTTTCCAAACGGGCTTCTTTTTAAAAAAAAGATGCATGAAATAGTCTCATCATCACCCAGTGTTACTTTTTCTCATGGCCTCAATTCCATGGCTCTAAAGAACCATAATAATTTCTTGCACAAACTCCTAGGACCATTGGAGGAAATATTGGGTCAATTGGGAGATTTCTGAGCCTGCACGAATTCACAATCTTGATCACAGCTTTACAACATTTGAGATTGATAATGCCATCCCGAGGTCCCACGAGATACTTCAGAATGTCAGAAGTGCAAGCACCACTGATTCCGGGAAGTGCTTTCAAGCATTGCTTCACTTGATACATCCCAATTGGAGGTGGAAAGGTAGTTGGATATTCACATTTTACTGGAGAAAGCATGATAGATGATACCAGAATCACTAACAATAGTGGGAGTCCATGTACTTTGGACGAAGAGAATGCAGTCATTCTAGTGCTTTTGAAAAACTAAAATCTAATGCTGAAGTTGAGATTTTTTTTCTTGTGGAGGTTTAATCATGACGATAATAGAAGTGGGGTGATGATTTGTGGTTCCAATTTTTTGGGTCTAGAATTTATAGAATGCCGGCATATGGTTATGATCAATTATGGCATAGGATATGAAAACTGATAACATTATAACAGCCTTTTTTTTTCATTTCTTTCCTTGTATATGATTCCTTTTTTTTTCTTGGTAAAATACATGCATACATATTTATTTCCATGTTTTCCTATAATTTCTCCCGCTTTTACTCCTCAAATTTCTCCACTGATATTTACATATTTTATTGTCGGTTACCAATCCTACTCTCCTCTTCCAATTGTCTCTTTTTCTTCTGCATTCTAGCCCTTTGAGCTTCTTGTCTCCCTAAATTTAGCCTAATGACTTAGCAACTGTTCCTTGTATGTTGCCCTCAAAAAATTCACCTCCTGATGTATGGATTTCTGGGTTCTTTTTTTTTTTTTTTTTTTCATCACTATATTTATGCAAAATACCCCAATTCATTAAAAATTCTTTGACATTTAAAAACCAACACTTTCCATGTATTGAGTTGATATATCTGATAGCCTGCCTATGTTCTGCCAAACTCGGAAGGTGCTATAGTAAATTAGCGAAAGAGAAAAGACTATTGCCGACATATAACTTGGCTCAATTGGTAAAAGATTGATCATTTTCTCATGAAAAAAGACATGCCTTCAATTCGGTACAAGGATAGCATGCCCTGACCTTTGATAATGATCGGAACCGAACCACTCAAATTTTATTCATACAAGAAAACAGAGAGAAAGAGAGAGAACTATTAGTGTCATGCGTAGCCACATGATTATTTTTCCTTCAATCCATAGAGCAACAAAATTGACCAAGAATATTAGACTGTGTGTGCATTGGACGTGGAATCGAGGGTATTAATTGGTGCCTTCGTAAACCCATTAAGCATTTAGATAAAGAAGATAAGTATAATCATAATCAACTAACTAATAAGCTGCTCTGACTATTATATGAATTGAGATCCTTATTAGTTTTCTGATGATCTTTTGTATTTAATCAACGCCCATTTAAAAGATTCTTGGATCACTTCTCACTACTCATCTGTTCCGCTAAAAGATTTTTTTTTTTTAATTTCTGATGATCATTTTGTACTAAAAAAGCTCTTCTTATTAATTGTCTACTCTCTTGTACTTAAAGAATTTTTTTTTTTTGGTCAAGTTAAATCGGCTGCAATACGTTATAATCCAAAATGATTCCTAAAATCATTGTTGTATTATAATCCTGTCAGTGAATGCTTGGGTCATGTCTAAAATATGAGTAAATTGCTCATGGAACATTGTGACAAAAGAATAATAAATTTTTTTTATTATAAAATTTTGTTCGTGTCTAAAATGTGATTATAGTGGACGACCAATGATTTCTTATTACTTCCTCAACTCTTGCAAGGCTCACTCAACAAACCATTTTAAATTGGATCAGTTTTCAGCTAAATGGAAAATTGTTTAATAGTTTAAAGATAACATAATCAATTAGTTGTGTAATTACTATTTAAGCTGTCCATCCATATTAAACTCAAAAAAAAAAAACGAGAAAAAAAAAAGCAATGATATTCCATTGATCACAACAAAACTCATCAATCTTTGACCATCACTATATAGAATGCGTAACATTTGCAATCTTTCCTTCTTTTAGCCACAAACCATGAATACAACCAAATAAATAGATCAAGTTAACACATAGAATCCGCCAAATTAAAGATTTGAATGAAATTCACATGGCAAATTCTGAACAAACTCTGCATTTGAATCAATCCCCCCTTTGCTGGTGACTGGTGAGTAACTTCATCCACCAAAATGAGAAGTCTGAAAATTCAATTGATGCAGAGACATGAATTATTGGCGCAGAGAAAGTTTCAAAATCTCAACCACAAAATTCTCCTAGTTAGCTGGTCCAAGGTGCATGCTCAGACTATGATTCAAGATTGGGACTGAAACTTGTCCTCTATTCTTCTATATGTTGTTTTTCTTTGTCCTATACAGGTCATCCCTGTCCTGCAATACATGCATGGGTCAGGGTCCTCCACTTACTGCACAACAAAGCCGCCAAAATAGGCGCCATTCGTTGGTAAAAGGGGATTGGAAGTCTTCCTAGTCCATGCATGCAATGGCAACCAAACACGTTATTGGATGTATATGGACAAGTAATTCAACAATAAAATAAAAACTACCCATTTTCTAAAAAAATATAAAATCACCTCCAAAACTTAAGAAAAACCATACCTAATAAGTGTCTAGCTTTGAGTTTGCATCCTTGTCTCATTCAGTCCTAGGTAGCACGAATGGACCGATGATGAAAACTGAACTATCATCAGATTAAACGGATATATCTCTAAGCAACCTCTGAATTTTAGCAAAAGCCATATACTGATGATAATTGATGAGAGACAAGGTTCAAACCGTCACAAACTAGAATCTCGAAGCATGTTAACGGAGCATTCAAAATTTTGTCATCAAATTGCTCTACAATGTACATCGAGTTGCACGTGTAATACCGACCTATTCTATCTTCAGAGTTGGATGGTCAAACTCACGAGTGAAGATCACCTGGGGAATTGTCTAAACTTTATTTGAAGTTTCTGATGCAGCGTCTATTCAGATGATGACAAGAGTAGGGCGGCGGCCAGGGGAGGGTGGAATGTCAAACTTCGAGCGAATAGAGAAATGAAACTCTGAACTTTGACATCGATGTAATTTCAATTTAGTGCATTGCTAAACAACGCGAAAGTACATTGTAAAATTTAGAATTGTTAACTAACGCGAGAATATATTGTTTGTGAGATATCTTTAGAACAAATTAAAGCCGTTAGATTTATCAGACAAAATGTGTAGAGTTAAAAAAAAGAAACAAAAAGTAAGAGCTATAATCTTTCTATCTTATTAGCTTACAGTAGAATGTCATGGTTGTAATCACTTTGCTAATCATTGTCATTCCAATTCCAATTAAAAGCTTGTATCATTGAATTTGTACGCTAAAGAAGCAAAGAGCAAATCGATTTTCCCCCACAAACTGGAAGAAGGCAAAAGCAGAAGGGATGGTCTGTGATGAAATTGGTTCTTCCATGGGGAGGACAAAGAAAACACAAATAATCTACGAAACAAATCTGCAGCCACCATTAAAAACCCATGATGTTCTATAACAATGATGATAAGGTGCAGCAAAATGTTGCTACAGTAAGAAGATGACTTATCAGTTCAAAGGCTATGATTAACAAGTTAGTTATCATCATCCCCCAAGCATCATCCTTCATGTTTTTCCTGTAAACTATACGGTTCCTCCTGGCTTCTTCTTGTTCCCTCAGTTCCTTGGATCCAAATGTTGTAGAGGACAACTTTATTCCCATACTTTGAGCAATAAGTCTTTGAGCAGTTCTTGCTGATGTCTTGGGCCTCAGACGAGGAGGTTCCAGATCTGAATTACATGAAGGTTTCCATTAGCATCAACACGACTAAGAATAAAAGTAATTGTATTTATGCTTTGCTAATGTAATCGATCGCAACGCCAGAAAGTCGGAAGTTCAGCTAAGTCAGCACATAAGCTTTACTCAGAAGCCGCAGTCAGCGGAAGAAAGTTTTTCAAGAAATGCAAATGCAAATTATCCTCCACAAACAAATCCTCTCACCCTCTCTCTCTCTCTGAGATAGGCTTCTAGACAGGCCTCTTCAATAGTAACTACCGTCCAACAATGTTAAATTTCTTAGTGAACAGCAAAAGAAAGTCAAATTTGCACCCGTCGTGCTTTGGCAACCCATGTAATTTTGAAATTCAAGCTGGCTACCAGCCAACCAAGGATCTCATATATACTAGGAAAGTTTCTTTGCTCCATACATGCGAAAGCTTCAAATCAGACTTGATTTTGAATAATATCAGCAGTTGTACTGTGCTTCCCAAAGTAATGTTTGGGTCCAGAGAAAGTAGCTGGTTTTGAAGCCAATGAATGGATGCTGACAGTCGAACGAGATGACATGCTATGCCTATCAAATTTTACAAATTATCAAAGAAGAAAATATGCCAGAAGAAAAGATAGAAGAAGGTTGAAAAGAAGAGATATCATAGGGAAAAAGACAATTGAAGATGAGTTACCACTCCTCATATTTCATTGCTCCACAAGTTTCACTATATCTTTCATTAAACATCGATCAAATCTGAAACTCTGGATTTCTTAAGCCAAGGTAATTTAGTGCAACAAATTGCAAAGGATTCAACATCTAGTGACCAATGATCCAGATCTCTATTTCAACTATAAACAGTAACTTGATGTTAATAGGCAGACAAACTTTGCAGACTTCAACCATAAAGCATACATGTGATATATATAATCAAGCTTCAAGCATAAAGAAACCAGATCAATTTATTTTTGTGTTGCCAAACATTAACAATCAAATAGATTCTTCGCTTGCCTCTAAGGGATAGCCAACAATTACCTCTCAATGGAATGGACCTCAAGAGTTCATCAGTCTCATCAAGTACACGCACTGTAAATGGACACTGCATGCACATGCTTGCCTCAAGAGCTGTTTGCACAAAAGTTCAAATTAGAAAGCACAAATATCAACAATAATCTAAGTTCAGCAGATGAGGAAACAAACTTAAATCTGTGTATTGAGAAATTTATAGAGAAGAATTTGAATGGGACTAGATTCAACTGTAAAAATATCCCAAAAATCAGAATAGAGACTGAATAAACAATATCTGCATTTACACATGCAGAAAAATTATAAACCTCTGCTGTATAGGAAAGCTACCAGAGGATTAGCGTATTGTCTGAGGAAACAAACTATAAAGCAAATATTTGAAAATTTAAGTAATACCATGGGTAGTGAGAGGGTGTGTGTGTGTGTGTGTGTGAGAGAGAGAGAGAAGAGGCACATGCCCAGCTATTGGCTCTTCTTTTTGGAACATTAAGGTCGTATAAATTCAAGTTTTACTTTCCTATACAAGGTGGACAAATGTCAAAAAAGTTTACCCAATTCTGGCTTTCTTAAGATTAGAAATCCAGCACAATTACATGTATCTTACTCAAAATAAACATCCACTCAAAGATTAAAAATTCTACAGCACGATACCGCCAGCTCTAAGTATTGTTTTAGGCTTTTGTATATATAAAGATTTTACGATAACCATACTGCACATCCTAATATGCTGTAATCAGATTCACGAATGTAGCATTAATAGATTAGAATCCAGCAGTTTTGAGTAAAAATAATGACATGGGCTCCGAATGGGCCTTCAGCTGCTAAAGAATTGAAAATGAAGAACAACTAAGAAATTCCTCAGTACCAAGTAATCAGTTCCAATGTGGTGCACACAATATTTTTCTGATATAAGCCATATAATCAAGGGAAAATCTTATCTATGTTTGCCCAAATGCACCTCAAAACCTTAGGTATAATATGGGGGAGTCAATTTTTTTCTCCTTTTTTGTTTTTTTTGGGGAGTCGGGGGGGGGGGGGGAGATGGAGAATTCCACTGATAAACAAATGAAAACCAGAATGTGACAATTTACTATGGCTTCTTATTTCGAGGCGCAAATTCTTACATGCATGTTTAAGTTGGCCAAGCAGAAATAAGACATCAATGCAGATGCCTGGACTCCAAACCTATTAGTCACCTTCTGCATTTTTCCTTAACTAGAGAGCGACCAAGTACCTGTTAATAGCAAAAACCTATTTGCTTCAGGACATTCAACTCATTAGCACCAGTAAAGTCTTGGATGATTTCGGCTTGCCTCCTTAAAATGAAAAAGACTTCTTCAAATATTAACCAATAGAATTACTGCGCCTTAGATAAAGTTGGTTGTTGCTGGATTTTCTCTGAAATCAGACTTGTAGAATCAACCCAGTCAGCCTCTAATTTATCCCTAGTATTTATAGCCTAGCATCCCAACCATATGCAGTCAAACCCTAGGAGCAAAGCACACAATTGGTCATCATTAAAACCCCACAAGGAGGAAAAAGGGGAAAAAACAAAGTCATCAGCATGTGATAAATCGGATTCCGAGTGCTTAAGCATTGGTATACTAAAAAACCATCAATTATGAAACTACCAAAAAATCTAGAAGCACAACAACATCAAATGAGCCACACATGTAGGTGTTTCAGTTCGATGTGTCAACTGCAAAAAGATGTTAAAAATAGTTTTTAATGCAGAAAGGGGGGAAGAAAAAGAAAAGAAAAAGTTCTTCATTTACCAGTTGATGGTGATCTGAATACTGCAAGTGCAACTGTATCATTAACCCAACGAATCGCAACTCCTTGATCCCTGAATCTCTCCAACAACTTCTCCAGGTCACTGGTGGTTGTGCTTGGAGGGAAGTCAGCCAGCACAAGAACATGCCTTGTACCATAATTCCCTGAAAAACATTAACAGCACAAATGATAAGCCACTATGAGAACTTGGTTGTAGTCATCAACCAAAATCTTCAGAAGGGAAGTTTCAGAACCAGAAATTCCCAGCCACATAGTACATAACCTGATAGGAAGAGTTCTAAATATCATGTTAACCCAAAAATAACTCATAGTTAAGATCAAAGTGCGAAGTATTATTAGCTAGTATATCAAAAATTGGTTCTAATCTTCAATTCTCTAATTACAAAAGAAGTAAATATGAATTGCTATATACACAGATGCAGGCAATATTGACAAAAGGAGCAAACATGAATTTACAATCTTTTTTTGCATTTTCCGCTGTTGATGACCGGGAATCAGCTTTGTCTTCTGCATCGTCAATCACTGGATAATTTGATTGCTTATCACTATACATGCCATGTCTCCCATATGAAAATGTTCCCCGTCCACGTCTCTTCAGACCTTGAACTTGGGCATCTTCCAATGAAAGCTTTGACACTTCCAGCAAGCTTTCAGGTGAAAGTAATTCATCCGGAGCACGATCTGCAGCAACTTCCCAATCTGTACACAACGGCAACACTTTATCATATATGCAAACTGAAAGCGTAAACAATATGCCCTTGAAGCCAAAAAATAGAATACGGCAAAACAAACAAACCTTAAGAAAAAAAATGACCCTAATTTTTATCTAGTACATCAGGAGAATTGATCAAAACTGTAAAGCCTAAGCTATATCTCACAATCTTGTTTCAATCAGTTTAAACACAAAGGTGCAGATGAAAATTAAATTACATAATCCAATTGCTCAAAATGTTGGTTGACTAACAACACAAAGATGCAATAGAACCCAATAAAAATTCTATAGCACATCCTTTTTCAACCTCATTTTATGTCATAGTCATTGTCGAAAACTTGTTGTCTATTTTAGCAGCCATTAGAAGCTTAAATGAGATGAATTTAACATTTTCTTAAGTGATTTTAATGACAAACAACAATGAGAATCACAGGCATCCAGGTAGCAACTTTGTATGAAAATTTTCATGTGACTTTCTTCTTGCTCTTTCTTTTCCCCTCTTCTTGCAATTTCTACCAAGTGGGTGGTTTCAAAAGCACACCTATGCCAACAGAGAATTCACAGCTACAGGATTAGAAAGAGGAATAAACAATCAAGATAAGAACCACATTGTCAAGTTAGATAAGCAAAAGAAAAGCAACATGAAACTTTGTCAAACTAACAAGTAGAATTTCCATCAGTACTTTTCTAAAAATTACTTGCATCTGACAACCAATGTGACAACATGGTTTTTCAAAATCATGGCACATACCAAATTCCAGGGTACGAAAGAAAGTTCCTGTGGGAGTTCACAGATAACAATTTTCTTGCTTGTCTTTATTAAGACAAAGAAAAGAACGGAAAATTACCGCATGGTAATGCTACCCCACATTAGCTTATTTTCTGCTGTGGATGGTTAGAGAAAATTTTTATTTCTGTATAATGTGACATTATAATATCGCAAACAGAATATGCCACTATTACCAGAAAGAAGACCATGCTTTGTAACACATATCATCAAATGAAGAGAAAATCTATTTGCTATTCTACTGTCCTTCCAAATGGCACGCCCATCACCTTTTGGAAGACGCAAACCACATAAACAAGTCTCCATGTTATTATCTGTTGCAACTTGCTTTTTTTTTGCTATCAAGACAAATTCACCTCCATATAAGCTCAACAAAATTGTTTTAGCTAATACAACTCTGAGCTTAAAACTCCCATGAAGGGCAAGTTGAGTGCTTGTATTTCCAGTCAACTACTACAGGAATTCTTATACAAGGTAGTGAATCGTGAGGAAGGACTAATTTGCAATTTATATGGTAAACATTTCCAGATATACCAGTGAAATACCACTACTTAATAAGGGCAATTGATATCAAGCTTCACCCCGAATATCTAAGTGCAACATGCCAAATCCAAAAAGAGGAAATTTGCAATTTTGACATGTATGCTTGTGCCCCTTGTTATATAGGATACTCCCATCCAGGCCCCAATATTTCAGACTTGACTCTTTATGATCACTTAGTTTCAAAAACTATGCCATTTTCGACTATTGAGCTCTTACTAACTCCACCAGCCACATTAACGTAAACAAAGAAATGTACCAAATAGGGAAATGGCAATTCTAATAGCTTTAATACATAACATAGAGGGCCAAAACTGTTGGTCCCTTCAAAAACTCATTTCTACAGTAAAAAAGGAACAAGGGGATATATGTGCACATACCATCATCAGAACCGCCTTCTTGTGCTGCCACATCCTTCAGCAAGCTTGAAGATTCCTGCTGATATTCTTGAAAACAGAAAGCAGTCCAATTAGATTTTGATTTACACAAACTAATATCAATGCAAGCAAGAAGAGAAGAAACTTCTCCTATAACTAATTGGAAAATTATAGAACCAAGAAAACTAAAAAAGCAAAAAGAAGGGAATACAAACCATCTTCAGAAATTTGACCACAAGTCGAAGCCTCATTTCGTTTATTATGGCCTTCTGTAATTCCATCACAAGATGACTCCTTTACTACATTTAAACCTCTGAAAATGAAATCTGACATCAGTACACCTTCTCCAATTGGCCTTAACCAAAATTTCATTCAAATTAGAGTAAAAAAAAAAAAGGAAAAAGACCAAACTTCCATTGTAAAAGGTCCAAATTTGCAGGAACTCAATGAAACAACTACATCCCACGGGGCAGGGGCACGACATTCCTTATCATTTTGCATGTTAGTACCTCAATTTAATGACAATAATTCTCAACAAAACACCAATCAGGACGCGGGTCTGACTCAACTTGAACAAACAACAAAAACCCTTCCTGCCCCTTTCCCAAACAGATATCACAAAAATCCGAAAGCTACGATTTTTTTATCAAATAGTCTATCAAACACCAATGAGGAAAACAAGGTAAAGCAGAAAAGAATCTTACCCTTTTGTAGGCAGTCCAGTAGATTGAGATTGTAAATTGATTTGGAATGCAAGAGAGCGAGTTTGATCAGCTTTGAGAGATAGACCTTTAGATGAGTAAAGTTTAGACAAGTCCAAAAGAGCAGCGGCCAATTCAGAAGAAGAAGAAGAGCCCTTTTGGGGTTTCTTCTCTAGCTTTGACATTACAGTTTCAAGAACAGAGATGGCCTTGTCTATCTCTCCGCCATGGACCAGGTCCTCCACTTCCTCCGTCCAGTTCCCATTGCTGCAATCACTTTCCATTTTACCCCCTCTTTTTCACCGGACCTCCAGCTCAGAAACACAAACGAAACAACAACAGCTATACAATGTTTGAATGTTTAATAAATTTGTAATATATTTGTTTGTTATTTTTATGAAATCGTCTTTTAAGACTTTTCCGGATAATTTGTTTGAATGTGAAAAATATTTATTGAGCATTGTGTGGATTTACTTTAAATGTTAGTAGTAAAATTCAGTGACTACACAACCTAATTAATTTTAACATAATGGTGTTACACACGAATAGGGCTGCAAACGAGCCGAGTTGAGTCGAGTTTTGAACTAATCGAGTCGAGTCTTGAACTAATCGAATCGAGTCGAGTGTCAACTAAATTTTATCAAGTTCGAGCTCGACGAACCGGTAATTTTCAAACTCGAGCTCGAGTCGAATCAAGTCGAGCCGAGCTCGAGATCGAAAAAAATAAAATAATTATTTATTTTTTAAAAATAAATAAAATAATATTTTTTTCTTAATAAATAATAAAATATTAAGGATATATACATAATTTTACTATGAAAATAAAAAATAAAAAAATATATATTACATATACGTAATTTTATTATTAAATAAAAATAAAAAAAAATATATATATATATACTCAAGCTCGCAAGTCGGCTCGCGAGCTAACGAGTTTAATATTCTGAACTCGAGTTTGACTCGAGCCGATCGCGAGCGGTTCGATTCGTTTGCAACCCTACACACGAACGTAAAATGACTCTATCAAAGTTTGACCCAATCCCAATCAATAATGATGAACTACAGTCGATTTCTAATCGATTTGACGAGCCAATCGAGTGAAGCAAAGTTTGAGTTTACATGATTTTTAATATTTTTATTAATAGTGACATGTATGTTCCTATATTTTTATTATTTATTAAGAGAAAATTTCAATTTTAACTACATTAAAAAATATAAAAAATTTATTAGGTTTAAACTCTAGGTGAATTATATTGAAAGCTTGTCGAATTCAAACTTTATGAAAATGAACAAACTTAGATCAATTAAACCAAAATTCGATTTGACATGATTCGCTTATGCCTCTTGTTACCCATGTAAAGTTCCAACTCTTTTAGGGAAAATTGTCAAATTAATTTATCACATTTTCGAAAAAAAAAATCTGTTTAGTCCCTCACATTTAAAACCAGCCAAAATAATCCATAAATATAAAAATCTTGCGTGTTTGGTCCTAAAACTTATTTTAGATCAATTTTCCGACCAAAAAAATGCACGCTTATCTCATGTGCCTATAATTTCAAGGTAAAAATTATGAACAAAATTTGTTTCCTTTCACCAAAAAAAAAAAAAAACCTCCCCTTTCCCTCAATTTTCATCCACCAAAATTTTTTATGCATAAGACCATTGCTAATACAATATTTTAGAATCCTCAATTTGGTCAACCAAGTGTGGAAGCTTTTAATCGGGGGTTGCTCCTGACCCAATAAATATTACATATTCTGTTGTTTATCAGTAGTTGTACATAATCAGTTCATGCACCAATGAAAATCTTAATATTGGAGCTCCTTTCTACCATCTCTTTCAGCCATATTATTAATAGGAAGTTGGTTACATCTACAATCAAAAATAAATATTGAGTGTTTCATTTTGCCTTAGCAATTATGAATACACAAAGTAGGCTTATGTTTTTTGGCTGAAACTTTGAGTAAAAATGAGCTCTGGGACTAAACCAGCAAAATTTTTATTTGATAGACTATTTTGGCTGATTTTATATGTGATTGACTAAAACTTTTTTTTTTTTTAAATGTGAGGGACCAAACTGGCGGTCTCCCCAATCTTTTCAATGTTGTTTACGTTGAGATTGTTTGTCACCAATTCTATAAGAATTATATCATTTTTTTTCTACAATTACACGGAGGATAAGAAAAGAGATGGGTTGAAACTTGAAACAGGGATGTCACGATCATTTAATTAAGATTAATATTTCTACGAGTTAAACAAAGTTTTAAGACAAGAATTATATCACTTACGAGATTTTTATCTGTGAATTAATAAGTGAACATGTGTTTATTCTTTTTTTTTTTTTTAAATGTAAGCAGGGGGACTCGAACCCGAGTACAGTACTTTTATTTTTTATTTTTTCTTAATAATGCAAGCTTTTTAAAACTAATCTTATTTTCTTTTAAGAATTAGTTTTTTGTACATTGATGGTGTATATCCTTTAATCATTAGATGCATGATACATAGTTTGAATTTGAATTTGAAATATACATTTTGCATATCTATATCTATATGTATTAAAGAACAGGTTTTTGGCTAAGAGCTTTCACAGGCATTAGAATCTGAATCAATCTGAATCCCTTTATACTATAATTTTAGATTTATTTTAATTCAATAATCCTTATCTTCTCCTTATCTCTTTCCACTCTTCAATTTACGCGACCCACTAACCCATAAGATTAAAACTCCTAAATTTTAACTAACAAATAGCAACCACCCTTGCAAAATGATATCTGCAAATTATAATTCACATCTTACATTTACTACTGACACATATCATATCACTGATATAAATAACTAACCGTTAATTTAAGAAACTCACAACTACAAAATTCACATATCCAAAATTTAGTAGCTTTGAATTACAATTTTCACAATTCTACGTATCTTATTGTCATAATGTATTTTACTCTCATAATCATTCACAAAACTGATGATCACTGACCTATTTTACCCATTTTCATTTGTCATCACACAAATTAAATACAGTAAAAAAAAGATTATGTATTTTACTCTCGCCATGGATGAATTCCACTTACAAACATTTCAATCAGTGACAAAGACAAGATTTTTTTTTCTAGAGGGGCTAAAAGTTTTCTTAACATAATTATTTATATGTGCTATGTTCAAAATAATTTTCATCTATTTAAATATATGACATCTAAAAATATCAAATTTTAATTTTAATTATAAAGGAATGTGAAAAATAAATAACTTTTTTAAGAAAAAATTAATTCAAAGATAGTTAATTCACACACACACGTACACATATATACATACATATATATATTCTCATAATATAAACTAAAATTGTAAAAAATTAGGAGGGCCAACTTTATTTTACACAAATATTTACATAATATGAATTAAAATTTTTAAAACTTGGGGTGGGGGACTATGGCGCCCATTAGTGCCCATTGGTTCCATCATTGATTTTAATAGCATTTTAATTCCAAACCTGCAAGATTATAAAGGAGAAAATAGCTGATCACAAATCGAATCTTACACTATAGTGATCCCACTAAAATATTTTAAAAAGATTAAGCAAGTTCACTTCTAAGAAATACAAGTCTCACTGAACATTTTTTTTTTTTGTAGTATGAGCTCCACAAAATTCAACAGAATTAATTAAATCATCAATATTGATTTTTAATATTGATTTCATATTAAAAATTGATTGATTAAAAAATTTTGCATCTTTATACAAAATTATCAAACGAATGCATAATATTTGTAAGTATTTCATTTTGAAATAATTTTCATCTATTTAAATATATGATATCTAAAAATACCAAATATTAACTTTAATTATAAAGGGATGTAAAAAAGAAATAACTTTTTTAAGAAAAAATTAATTCAAATGGAGTTAAATCACACACACATGCACACATATATACATATATATATATATATTCTCATAATATAAAAGTAAAATTGTAAAAAATTAGAATGTCCAACTTTGTTTTATACAAATATTTACACAATATGAATTAAAATTTTTAAAACTTGAGGGGGGGGAGGGCTATGGCCCCTATTAGCCCTCATTGGTTCCATCATTGATTTCAATGGTATCTTAATTCCAAACCTACAAGGTTACAAAGAAAAAAAAAATACTGATCACAAGACAAATCTTATACCATAGTGATCCCACTGAAATATTTTAAAAGTTTCAGCAAATTCATTTATAAGAAATACATGTTTCGTTAAACAGTTTTTTATAGTACGAACTCCACAAAATTCAATAGAATTAATTAAACCACCAATATTAATTTTCATACTAAAAGTTGATTGGTATAAAAAATGTTCGCACCTTTGTACAAGATTGTCAAATCGAATGCATAATGTTTGTAAGTATTTCATTTTGAAATAATTTTCATCTATTTAAATATATGACATTTAAAAATATAAAATATTAACTTTAATTATAAAGGGATGAAAAAAATAAATAACTTTTTTAAGAGCAAAATTTAATTCAAATGTAGTTAATTCACACACATACACGCGCACATATATACATATATATATTCTCATAATATAAACTAAAATTATAAAAAATTAGGAGGCCAACTTTGTTTTACACAAATATTTACACAATATAAATTAAAATTTTTAAAACTAGGGGGCGGGGGGCTATGGCCCCTATTAGTCTCCATTGATTCCATTATTAATTTCAATGGCATCTTAATTCCAAACCTGCAAGATTACAAAGAAGAAAATAACTAATCACAAAACGAATCTTACACCATAGTGATCCCACTGAAATATTTTAAAAAAGTTCAACAAATTCACTTCCAAGAAATACAAGTTTCGCTAAACTTTTTTTTGTAATACAAACTCCACAAAATCCAATAGAATTAATTAAACCACCAATATTAATTTTCATACTAAAAGTTGATTGGTGTAAAAGATTATCAAATCGAATGCATAATGTTTGTAAGTATTTTATTTTTAAATCAAATAAAACATGCAATTACATTTATTTTTATCCATATATCATTCATTTTCTAATATAATTTTCTATTATTATTTCAAGATCCATCTTCCGTAAAAATGCAATTCTTGAATGATCTACACATTTTGTCATATATTGAACTATTGTTAGACAAATATTAAATATTAATTATGTTGATATAATTTTTTAACTTTTTTCAAATTTACCCTCTCTTTTAATTTCTTTGAATAACGTAAGCTCCGTGCGTAGCACAGGTATTGACACTAGTGTATTATACATCTAATTGTGATGGTGTATATATTGCCGATATATATAAGATTAACTGTTCTTTTAATACTATGACATTATTTAT